AATGTTCGCAGGCTTTAGTCATATGTCCCGCTGAGAACACTGTGGACCAGCCGTGTGTAGCCTAGGCAACAGAAGAACTCAGAGTCACGGTAAAGCGGTGGTTTCTCATAATCATTGGTGTTAGACAGTATATTTAATCTTTAACCTTAACTTGGTGTTATGAGTTTCTGAACATATATCTATAACAATAGGTCATGCTAGTAGCTAGGAGACAGGGTCCTATGATGCAGAAACTCTCTCCTGGGATCCTTTGAGATCTTCGAATCCCAACACCTCCAGAGAGTATCTCATGCAATTACATGTTAAATCTCCAAACCCGAGCAGTTTAAGATTTTATTTTGATGATGGCTTCACTGAACAACATGAGTAACAGTTGAGGAGTGTCACTTAAAAGGTTTCATATAAGTTTACCAATCTTGACATAGGAGCAGAAGTTGAGACATGAAAATATGAAGCTACATGGACAATGTTTAGGGAAGGGAAATGACACACAATGATGAAGTAGAAACTAGTATAAGTCTTTAGAAAAGGCAGAATAAGGCCCCTAATTCACAGTTATTGGCACTTTTGCTCTTTGTCAAATAATAGAAGTGAGAGAGTCAGTATTCTCTATCTAATATGGGGTATCTTTTTACATTGGTGTAGATTCATCTGAATATTGATGTAAAATAGATTGCCTGCACCGTATGTACACTATCTTTCTAAATGTTTGATGCTGTGATGATAACTTTGAGCTCTTTCTTCAGAGATGTATTTTAAATGTTATTTGTCCACTGGTTACAGGATGTTTATAGAGCCGAGACTCGGGTCTACTCAGTGTAAAAAAACAACAGTGAATATAAATCAATGTGTTAGAGATTGAATTTGTAATTTAGTGTTGCATTACGCAATGTCTAACTGTGTCTATTTTGCTTGTTGTTGTGTATGCAGTTTTCAAGCAGCTCTCAAGACATTTATTTGACAGGCTAGCTTAAACACATTGCCCCAGACATTTCTCTTTAAAAAATAAAAGTAATACAAAAATCAATAAAAAGGGAAGTCCAATTAGTGTGCATTTGATTTCCACGTATATAGTGAAAGTGGTTCCTCATGTGTGTACTTTGGTTATGTTTAGAGTCTTAATCCTATTGAGTGTGTACACAACACATAGTTTCTGCGTTCACTGGACTTGATTATTCTGCCCTGTCACAGGCTGGATTCACAGTCACCATGTCACAGCGCAATGTCCTAATTTGGTGTTTCATTGAGGGAGAGGATCATGCTCAGGTTTGTTGTGAGTGGGTGTATAATTCCGTCTGGATGGCGTTTGTTTAATTGTGGTGTAAGTGCCTTGCCAAATGTCTGTCTTGCATGGTCTCAGCTATCTACTTAACATGCCATCCTCATAGTGAGGCTCATTCTGTACAGGGTCTCAAACGTAAATAAGGATTTGTTATAACATTTTAAATTCAGGGAATAAGAGAAACTCAAATCAGGACCATTAGAAGCACATGATTTAAAAATCCCTTTAAAAAAATCCTACAGGAATCACTTCATGTATCTTCAGAATGTACACTTTATTCTTCACTATGAAGGGCAAACATCGAAACCATTGAGAGGGACACACTCACAATATCTGTAGGAAATACTCTCGGTAATACTCGTCCTCATTTTGAACTCAGTGAAGAAGTAGAGCCTATAGCAAGATTGAATGCACTCTTTTTAAATGGTCTGAAGTTGTCTCTCACTCGCACTCTTTTATTGAAATAATTTCAAAGGCTTTTTCTCATAAGCATCTCTCATTCTCCTTAAGCCATCGAACAGTCTCTGTAAAGGTTAGTGTATGTAAGTGTTGTTTCTCTTCACTTAGCGGTGTATTGATCCGTGTGTTGTTGCCACTCATGTGCAAGCTTCAGCAACCAAAGACAAAGTGTCAGAGCGACCGAAGGACGTCAGAGCTCTGAATGTCATCGTGTTTATACAGTTGATGTCAATGACGCCTCATGGGTATGCACAATTAATAATTGGTAACGAGAGGCTCAGCATTTCTATTCATCACAGTCCACAACAGAGCAAGTCTCATTAATGTATTTGTGCCATGTGATTTATTTATAATTCCAAGGAATTTAAAATGTAGAGAACACAAAATGAACACATTCACATTATTATTGTCTCGTTTTTATTTCCGAATAATTTAATAGTCGTCTAGTAGTCTTCTACTATTATTGTGGTAGAAGAAAAAGGTTGTGAAGAAAAAGCTATAGTTGTACAAATGAAATGGCTGCATTAAGGAAAAAGGGTTACACACTTTTGAAAAGCACAACATGGATGTGGTATTGTCATTCTGTGTCCCAGAGTAATATTTTTTACAATTTGCCCTAATAGGTTTGTTTCTGTTGGTTGTAGTGAAGATGTTAAAAGCTTTCTTTTCTATTTCCGGTAGTTTTGTCTGTGTGTAAAATGATAAAGCATATGATTTTATTTTCAGCCATTGTGCTGTAAACTCAGAAAAAACAAAATGCTAGAGGTAAACTTAACGAGTAAAAATAAAAATAAACACATTTTAAGACGTATAGTTATATTTGGTTATCTTACCTTGAAGCAATAGGTTTCCTTGAGTTAAGTTCAGTCCTATTTTACGGTGTTTTGGGTCACATTTACATTTTATGACTTTCATGCATCTTGATCTCATCAACATGTTTCTGGCCTCAAAATGTGTGAGATGTGTTTTTTTGACACTTGATGACAATCGATATCTGAGTGAAAGTGTGTGAAAAGTGTGTTACTTAGTGACAGAGGAATCAAATACAGCCTTTTTTTAAAAACTTCAGCTAGAGATAATAATAATAATAATAAAAAGAGATTTAAAATAAATAATACATTTAGCTAAATTAATCTCAACAGGTAAATTGTTTCAGAGATTGGGAAACTGGACTGCAATGTGTAAATAATTGCACCTCACCTCAGGGGGAGCAAAGAGAACATATCTTACCGTGTGAAGGCAGCTTTAGTCACCAGGGGGACTCTGTGGAAGCTCAGAAGGCCACTTTCAGCTGATATAAAGGATGCACATATGTATATGCACATATATAAGGACTTAGCAAATCTTTGATAAAACTAGGGTCTGGTCATTTAATTCCTTGATGGTCAATAATAACATTTGGAAAATCAATGTGAAAAAAGAACTGGAAGATGGAACATGGAGGCTAGAATTAAAGTTTAGAATTTTTGTCCCGGGGATAATTCTGTTACGGTGAGTGAAGCAAGCAGGACCCAAATGCAGATAACGCTGAAAAAAGCCTTTATTTCAAGGATAAAATAAAAATAACTTGGACAAAACAGAACTCTCACTGGTGAACTCATTCACAAACAAAAGACGAACCAACACTGAACACAGGACGAGACAAGACTAAATACAGGGAGGGGTAATCACAAGACGAGAAACAGCCGGGCAAGGGAGGAGAAACACAAGGGCCACAGGTGAACACAATCAGACAATTAGACACACCAGGGAAACTAACGACAGGAGGAAAAACACAGGGAAAAGGACCAGACAATATACCAAGAGGAAAACATGACAGGGAGAACAGCAAAACACCCAAAACAAGACATACAAAACGTGACATAACACACTAATCCTGACAAACCCTAGCAGCAGTATTTTTGACCAACAAAAGGAAATGGAGCAAAGCCTGGGTGATATCTGTAAAAAGGGCAATTAATTACACATTTGTAAATCTTCAAAGGATAAAAAGCATCTGGGTTTTATTTCAAATGACCTTGAATTTAAAGAAGCATGGTCCTCAAAACACCAGAATCAATCACACATTCATTGCAATTGGCTTAATGTTTTGTGACAAGGCTCCAATATTACAGACTATTGGACTGACAGTACAGAAACGGTTAGTGCCTGAACTAACTGTATACAGTATGTCCACATACTTTTGGACCTAGTGTGCCATCCTTATCATTCGTTGAAAGTTATTCCTGTGTGGGGCTTGGTAACGTTAGTTTATGTATCTAATTATTAAATAAAATGACCTTCCATAAATCCCATTTCCCGAAATAAATGCAAGTCTTCTACTCTGAGACCAGGAGGGGAGAAGTTTTGGACCCCTTTTGAGTTACTTTCTTTATTATTTGTAATGCATTCATATCTGTTTGTCTACTGGGTGTAATCTGTTATTTCATTACTGTTTTATCAATGTTTTGAACAGGTACACATTAATATGTACATGTGTACCTTCTGGCCTCTAGTAGCACCTGGAAGAAGGGATACACTTTTCTCCCAATGGTTTTACACTCTTCCACTGATCTCCAGGTGGCAGTAAAACGCCAAAATATGCAGCAATGCAACAGCAAAGGGAGGAAGAAGACTGTGAGGTAATACAAATTGATGTGATCATTTAACAGTTTAGATGTAAAATATTGTCTTTGCAAATGTACGAGAAATTACAATTGAGAAAAAGTTTAATGTCTAGCCCATGAGGATAAATCAGTGTTATTTCTGCCCTTTATCTTCACACTTTTTATTCTGACTCAAGTAACAGCCTGAATGGCAAGAAGACCAATTGGGGCTGTTTCCAACTGGAGGGTAGATATAAAGGTGCTGTTATAGCATAAAGGTGCTGTTAGAGCAATCTCCCTCCCAAAGAAAAGAGCTTTCACAATGACTATCACCTTTACAATGTCCCTCTGGAGTACTGACACATAATAACATTTCAACATTATGTTATCTAACCATTTTTATGATGGGTCCCTCATAGGGATGACATATATGGTACACTTTGATGTTTAACATTATAATCATTACATATAGTGAAGCAGATAAGCTTGTACGACAAAAGGCATTGTGCTTTGTTCCAATGCACAATTACTTTGCCAACCTTCCCCAGATCAGCGTCACTGTCGGTGGTTACAGGAATACCAGAATGTAAATCAATACATTCTCCAAGCAACAACAGTAATTAAGTCCCATTTTACAGATGACGCACCTGTTTTATCAGAAGCTTTATTGACAGTTTACTCAGCCTTTAAAAAAGCTGCAGCAGGTCTTCAATCAATATCAACTCCTCTGGCTCCATCTTGCATAAATAAATAAAAACTCCTGATCTCAAGATCTTAAAACCGCAAACCTGCATGTAAATATTATATAAAAAATGGTATGCAAAAATATCTTTCATAGTTTCACACAAGGGAATAAAAGAAGATTTCATTATGGCTTTTTGACATTGATCAAAAAGGGAAACGTTATTTATTATCAAATATAATACAGATGTATGCAATCTAAATCAAGGAAAAACACATATGTATTGTTCAGGAGTTACAGCCTTAAGTCTGTGTTGATCAGCATACAGTAGCACATGTGGATGCTGTTTTAAAGCATGCCATGTCTTGCTTTTCCGCCTTTATTATTGATTGCATTGTCTAAGTCACAGGTTTCTTAGCGAATAAATCCCTTTTGGTGCCATCCCCCTATACCTTTAGGAAGCGTCCGAATGCCGGTGTATTTATAATAAATTAAACACTCAGATATTTTGAACAACTGGAAATTAATATATGAAGATCAACAATCAGTGGGATATCCTCTCTGAAGTTAGCTGTTAGTAGTAATTCATACATTAGAAGTAATTCACAAATCCATCACAGATTAAAATTATAAAAATAATCTTTAATATAAACTACATATTCAGTGCAGGATGAACAAATATACAAATCATACAATTTAGACATTGATTGAAACATAAGGTAAGCATGTTAAAAAATCAGTTAACATGGTCGTATCAGTTAATATCTTCTTAATTAGTGATCAGCATAAATAGGACAGTAAATAAATTATGAGCCTTTTTTCTCTGCCTCCGAACTTCCTTCGTGAGCAGGTTGTCGTCATTTCAATTCCCAACTGGACTTCTACTTGGGCCATTTGCATCTGTGAATAAAAGAGGGTTTATTTAGAATAAAGTATGGATGAATTCACAAACAATGAAACACCAGATGAACCTGGACTCTGCATGAGTTTAAGAACACTTTGTTTATCAGTCCATTTCAATGTCTCCTGGGAACTCAGATTTTTATTTTATTTTTTGAATCCTCTCTTATTGTTTTATAGTTTGCAGGTTGGTTGCACTCGAGATACCTAGGGTGAATTGCCCTAATGTGGGACATTTTTTGCATTTCAGACTTCGGGAATATTTTGCGATATGAAGCCGATACAATAAATCGACACCAAGTACCATTCTGAAATCCCCAGGATGTGTCCTAATCAAACCAAAAGAGAAAATGCAGATATTACACTCATAAAAGAAATGGTAGACATATAAGTACTCTTAGTGCCAAGTTGTCTCAGACAATCTGCATTTCCTAATGTGGGACAGTTCTGTGCAAAATGTGGGACACTGAAAAGTATATGTTAAAAAGCCTCAGTCACCTTAATTCATGTAATAAAAACATCTCAGGTCAGTAACACTCAAAGCTAAATGTGCAATACCATGTTCAGCTATGTTACTATTTATAATGTTATTATTTTTTACAACAGAAGATGTTTTTCTTTAAATTGAAGTTAAATGCATCAATCTGGTGCACTTTGAGGGCAAAATTAAGAGATTTATGGATACAGCTCTCAACACTCATATGAAACAGAACTGTATATATTTCAATAATCCAAAAACCATTAGAATATGCTCACAACCAATAACACATATTTGATAAACTCCTCTCTCCTATCTTTATCTTACCTAGTCTGCATTCTTTCTTTTTTATTTATGCATATTCGACTAATCACTCCCCTTTTACACTGTGTTTTTTTTTTTTTTACTGACCTATAGCACATATTGGAATGATTTATTAACTTAGGCTATTTTTTACAATGTGTGTTGGAAGGATTTATTAAATTACTATGAATATTTGGGCTTAAATTAATTGCCATCTCTTAAACTCAGACATTAATCCCTAACATTATCCCTGACTTTGTCATACCATTTTAACAGAGATGCAGCCACCCCCAATTATTTAATATGATTTGCCCTTCACCTTAAATATCTAAAATAATGCATTAGAAGACTAAAACCCTGTAAATAACCATTGCTCTTGCACAATCCATGCCCCTTTTAGACCTGTCCCACATTAGGCAAATCATACTGTCCCACTTTGCGAAACATGTTTCCTAAAGTGGGACGATGGAACATTTGATTGAAATAAAAAATATAGAGTATATTTACACCATATTATAATATGTTCTGATGAACAAACATATCATAAACACATCCTGATAAAAATTTGCAAGATTGTTTTATTTATCCATCCATCCATCCATCTTCTTCCGCTTATCCGTGGTCGGGTCGCGGGGGTAGCAGTTCCAGCAGAGAGCCCCAAACTTTCTTTTCCCTGGCGACATCAACCAGCTCTGACTGGGGGATCCCAAGGCGCTCCCAGGCCAGCGAAGAGATATAATCCCTCCACCTGGTCCTAGGTCTACCCCTTGGTCTCTTCCCAGCTGGACGTGCCTGGAACACCTCCCTAGGGAGGCGCCCAGGTGGCATCCTAACTAGGTGCCCGAACCACCTCAACTGGCTCCTTTCGACGCGAAGGAGGAGCGGCTCAACTCTGAGTCCCTCCCTGATGACCGAACTTCTCACCTTATCCCTAAGGGAGACACCAGCCACCCTGCGGAGAAAACCCATCTCGGCCGCTTGTATCCGCGATCTCGTTCTTTCGGTCATGACCCATCCTTCATGACCATAGGTGAGGGTAGGAACGAAAACAGAGAGCTTTGCCTTCTGGCTCAGCTCCCTTTTCATCACAACGGTGCGGTAAAGCGACTGCAGTACCGCTCCCGCTGCTCCGATTCTCCGGCCCATCTCACGCTCCATTGTTCCCTCACTCGAGAACAAGACCCCGAGATACTTGAACTCCTTCACTTGGGGTAAGGACTCATTCCCTACTTGAAGTGGACAGTCCATCGGTTTCCTGCTGAGAACCATGGCCTCAGATTTGGAGGTGCTGATCCTCATCCCAGCCGCTTCACACTCGGTTGCGAACCGATCCAGTGAGTGCTGAAGGTCGCAGACCGATGAAGCCATTAGAACCACATCATCTGCAAAAAGCAGTGGTGCAATCCTTAGTCCACCGAACTGCAGACCCCCTCCCCCATGACTACGCCTCGAAATCCGATCCATGTATATTACAAACAGGATTGGTGACAAAGCGCAGCCCTGGCGGAGGCCAACCCTCACCGGAAATGGGTCCGACTTACTGCCGAGGACCCGGACACAGCTCTCGCTTTGGGAGTACAGAGATTGGATGGCCCTGAGTAGAGACCCCCTCACCCCATACTCCCGCAGCACCTCCCACAGTAACTCCCTGGGAACTCGGTCATACGCCTTCTCCAAGTCTACAAAACACATGTAGACCGGATAAGCGTATTCCCAGGCCCCCTCCAGGATCCTTGCGAGAGTAAAAAGCTGATCCGTCGTTCCACGACCAGGACGGAATCCGCATTGTTCCTCCTCAATCTGAGGTTCGACAATCGGCCTGACCCTCCTTTCGAGTACCTTAGAGTAAACTTTCCCGGGGAGGCTGAGTAGTGTGATGCCTCTGTAATTGGCACACACCCTCTGATCCCCCTTTTTAAAAAGGGGGACCACCACCCCGGTCTGCCACTCCTTCGGTACTGTTTCCGACTTCCACGCAACGTTGATGAGACGTGTCAACCATGACAGTCCCTCAACACCTAGAGCCTTCAGCATTTCCGGGCGGATCTCATCCACCCCCGGGGCTTTGCCACTGTGGAGTTGTTTGACGACCTCAGTGACCTCCCCCCGGGAGATTGGTGTTGATCCCCCGTCATACTCCAGCTCTGCCTCTAACATAGAGGGCGGAGTTGTCGGGTTCAGGAGTTCCTCAAAGTGTTCCTTCCAACGCCCTAACACTCCATCAGTTGAGGTCAACAACGTCCCATCCTTACTGTACACAGCTTGGATGGTTCCCTGCTTCCCCCTCCTGAGGTGTCGGACAGTTTTCCAGAACAACTTTGGTGCCGCCCGAAAGTCCTTCTCCATGTCTTCTCCGAACTTCTCCCACACCCGCTGCTTTGCCTCGGCCACGGATGAGGCTGCTGCCCTTCGGGCCTGTCGGTACCTTGCAACTGCCTCGGGAGTCCCCCGGGATAACAAATCCCTGAAGGCCTCCTTCTTCAGTCGGACGGCTTCCCTGACCACCGGTGTCCACCAGGAGGTTCGAGGGTTACCGCCCCTTGAGGCACCTAGGACCTTGAGACCACAGCTCCCCGCCGCGGCTTCGGCAATAGAGGCTTTGAACACCGACCACTCTGGTTCAATGTCCCCAACCTCCACAGGAATGCCCGAAAAGCTCCGCCGGAGGTGTGAGTTGAAGGCCTCCTGAACTTGGGCCTCCTCCAGACGTTCCCAGTTCACCCGAACTACACGTTTGGGCTTACCAGGTCTATCCAGAGGCTTCCCCCGCCACTCGACCCAACTCACCACCAGATGGTGATCAGTTGACAACTCCGCCCCTCTCTTTACCCGAGTGTCCAAAACATACGGCCTCAGGTCCGATGATACGATAACGAAATCGATCATGGACCTTCTGCCTAGGGTGCTCTGGTACCACGTACACTTATGAGCATCCTTATGTTCGAACATGGTGTTTGTTATGGCCAATCCATGACTAGCAGAGAAGTCCAGTAACAAACCACCACTCCGGTTCAGATCAGGGGGGCCGTTCCTCCCAATCACGCCCCTCCAAGTGTCTCCATCATTGCCCACATGTGCGTTGAAGTCTCCCAGCAAGATTAAAGAGTCCCCTTCAGGAGCCCCATACAGGACTCTTTCCAGGGTCTCCAAGAAGGCCGTATACTCTGAACTGCTGTTGGGTGCATAAGCACACACAACAGTCAGAGTTTTCCCCCCCATAACCACTGGGGTAAACTCCAACAACGAAGCACCTAACCGGGGACTTGTGAGTATCCCCACACCCGCCCGGCGCCTCACACCTTGAGCAACTCCGGAGAAGAATAGAGTCCAACCCCTATCCAGAAGTAAGGTTCCAGAGCCGACGCTGTGCGTAGAGGTGAGCCCAACCAGATCCAACTGGTAACGCTCCACCTCCCGCACAAGCTCCGGCTCCTTCCCCCCCAGAGAGGTGACGTTCCACGTCCCCAAAGCCAGCTTCTGTCGCCCGGGTCTGGTCCGTCGAGACCCTCCGCTTTCACTGCCACCCTTCTGGCAGCGCACCCGACCCCATCGATGTTTCCCGTAGGTGGTGGGCCCGCCGGACGGAGAAGCGGAGGTGTTGCCCACGTTGCCTTTTCGGGCTGGGCCCGGCCGGGCTCCGTGGCAAGCCCGGCCACCAGACGCTCGCCGACGAGTCCTCCTTCTGGGCCTGGCTCCAGAAGGGGACCCCGGGCTTCCTCCGGGCCGGGTATTCTCACTTCTTAGTTTTTCTTTCATGAGGTCTTTTGTTTTATTTATACGAAATTTAAAACCTTAACATTACATTTGTCAAAACACTATGTCATTGACCTTTGGGTGGTCTTCACACATGGTACTTCCTGTTTAAAGGTTTTTCCACCCTCATCTGTGATTGGACATTTGAGAAGTCATGTGATTTTGATCGCATGACATCACAGCTTGTGTTAACCAAGCCCCCAGGAAGTGCGCCGGACTCAGATGAAAATATTCGTGCTGGCCAAACGGCGGTACTACACTTCCGTTTGGTTGCCAGGCCCGGAAACACTTTTTCCCATTGACTTACATGGGGAAAGAGTGGTCTGTAACTCGTTGGATAATTTTTTTTAAACTAAATAAACTACCCAGTATGAACACTTGTATAGCCCTTATTAAAAACATTCATTCCTCAAGTTGTAATAATGTGCTAATAACGTTATTCTGAGAGTTATTTCCCTCTGCATTATGAACGCGCATCTAGCCCACGGGACCGCGCCGCCCGGCACGTTCATGTTACGTGTCCCGACCAATCAGAGCACACTGTGCTCACAGGGAGGGTGGGGGCTGAAGCTATTGGAGCTACAACGAGCCGTTAAAGGCAGAGAGTGAAATTCAGTGAATACACGTAGTTTACAGAGATGCTGTATGAGAAACCAATGTGAGTTGCGTTTATCTTTACCCATGGATGCACAATAAGAACGGATCCATATCGTCTTACTGCCATCCCACGGAGCTGTAATAATGGATATATTGCACATGTTTGCTGTAATTCATTATCATACTACATGGGCTGTATGATTAAATCTTGTACCGTAAATGTTGTATTAAATAAAGTTAATATTACCGACATTATTAACGTCCCTGTAGCTTCGTATTGCACTAAGAAGCTTATTGCACTGTAGGCCTATATAAAAATATATATACAGTGCAATAATTATTTCATACTAAATGAAGCTCTGTTGGATATCACTAGATCCTGTTACAGCGTAATATAAGTACATAACGATTTATGTGTACATTAGAATAATTACTAGCTAGCCGCTAGCTGCTAACTGCCGCCTCGTTCATATCAAATCCATGATAACAACAATCCATTACCATGCTGTCATGAACGCGCGGTGCTGTTACGTGTACGCAAATTGACGTGCTTGATGTGAACGAGCATTTTGGTTAAAGTTGCGCATGCTCTATGAGCGCACATACGGGTACTTCTCAGGCATGCTGGGTAATCTGTGACATTTCACTCTCTCAAAAGGTGGGCCATTTTATCATCATGCGCTAATGAGCAGCTCTCATAGGAATGAATGAGGCCCCGCCTCCCACGCTGTATCCAGTTCTTATTATACATCCATGGTGTTAACCCGTAGTTTCATTGACTCTCATTTGTTTGCGGAAGACCTACACCCATTTGAGCTTAGGTGTCCCACATTAGGGCGTGTCCCACATTAGGGCAACTCACCCTACGTATTTGCAAAAAAAACACAGTTTTGTACATATCTTCCCCAGGAATACCTGCAGGAGGCTTGGTCAAAATGTCGATGCCTGCTGGCACAGATGGAGGAGTTGATCTGACAGCGTTGGATGGGTCCTGGCTGCAGAGTTGGTTCAGGTCTAGGAAGACAGTCACAGCGCTCCACGTCTATCTCACAGTCGGGCATCCAGGCACTGAGTGGAAGCTCTGTGCAGGAGGTCATAATGGCACATTAGAGTTATAAACAAGCAATCGCTTTTCTATCCTAATCTTAGCATGTTGATTTTTTAAATAGTGTGAAATAAATGTTCTTGGCCATGATGACAAGTGTTCTTTGCATAATGAAATGTTTGAGCTTACTGCTAATATCAGCATGCTAACATGCTAACAAAGACGACATGCAGAAGCAGAAACTATGTTTGCCATATTCACCGTCTTAGTTTAAAATGGTATTAGAAACACAAAATACAACTGACGGGAAGATCACACACACACACACACCCACCACACACACACACACACACACACACACACACACACACACACACACACACACACACACACACACACACACACACACACACACAGCACACACACACACACACACACACACACACACACACACACACCTGGTGTACTGGAAGGGTAAGGTATGCATCTGTCACTTGAACAATCCCAAATCAAGCCACTGGCACAAAGTCTTCTGGAGTCTTCTGCCTCCGACAGCTGGCTCATCGGAGAGCAGCTGCCAATTGACCAGATGCATTAGAACAGAATAAAATGAAATCACATCAGATTCTGGTGAGAAACAAGATGACTCACCCACTGCTCCTGTGAGGTTGAGCATTACGACGTATTATGGCGGGCTCCATGCACCTGCACTCTGTATGATTAGCTACTTTTATTAGCACAGGCTCAGGTACAAACTTCAATGGAATAACACTAAGGACCTGAAATGCACAACACAGAAAATATGTTATAATGTTGGAATACTTAAACCCTTGGAGAAAGGTAAACCAAACAGGTAAAAAGGACATTTATTATCTAAGGCTTTGTCACTCACAGTTTTATTCACATATTCATAAGTTGTGTTCCTGCAGGTGACACCCTCATGATTGCAGCAGCCATTACACCTGTCAGTAGGAAAAAAGAACATCTGGTTAAAGTGATGCATGGGAAAATTCAAGTAAATTGTTGAAACGGAGGGGTCTGTGCCGTTAATTTTAAGTTTTCTCCAATATCATATTTGGTTAAATGCCAAATTGAATCTATTGAAAGGGATACAGAAATAAATTAATCTTTCTAATACATAAATGTACGATCCATCACTTGACATAAAGGATAGTAACTTTGCTTAGCTTAACAAAAATATTGTTTACTGGGAGGAACAGCTGGTCTGGCTCTGTCCAAAGGGACCCAAATCCTTTGAGTACATCTAAAGCGCACTTAACATACCATAACTCCTTTGTTTAATATGTAGAAAAAACACTCTTGTTATCCCCTCTACCTCATTGAGAGGGTGAGTGGATTTGCTGCTATCTGCTAATGAAACATCCAGAACATAAGCCCTGTAAAAATACAATATGGTGTGTATTCCTTAGTTTTTTGATGGGTTAAGCAGAAAACTAAATGTACCTTATTTAATAGCTTAAGATGTACTTTAGATATACTTATTTGCTGTGAGGTTTGTTACCTTTGGACCAGGGGCGGATCTACCGGGGTGGCATGGGGTGGCAACTGCCACCCTAAACAATAGCCTTGCCATCCCAGCTGCCACCCCAGTTGGCATCTTTGTTTTGAAAGAAAAGTTGTTGCTCATTGGACATTTATGAGAGAAAGTCTCTAATGTCCGAGTGCAAGTGAATGCAGCACAAGATGCACGTCATGTAACCCCTCCCCCGGTCCTGGCACGAGAGTGGAAATATGATTGCTGGCGAATTCATTTGAACGGGACGGCGCAAAACGAGAAGCCTTTCGGACCCAAGCACTGAAGGAATGAGATATTTGCGGTCTACAATGACAGAGAAGAGAATGTCAAGTTTGGCTGTACTCAGCATTGAATCAAAACGCACTACAGCTGTTGATCTTAATAAGTTTGTGAGGCGTTTTGCTGAACAAGATAGTAATCGCCGCATTTAGCTGTAATAGACATGCCAACTTGATGCTCTGCTCACGGATGACTCGATGAGAATAACAAACTGTTAAGATGATGACCTTGTATGTGTGTATATATTTTTTTCTTCAATTTTAAGTCCTGAAAAAGTAAAATAAGACGGTGTGTAAAACTACACTGCCCAGCCAACAGAAAGTAACCACTTTGATTTAACTAGGCCAGTAGGTAAGGACCTTCCACTGGATAATAACTGCAGCGATGTTTATGTTTTAGCTGAATACACGTTTTTTAACCCTAACTGATGCAGTTAGTCACTTCTTTAATGTTTGTTTTTTCTGATGTAAAGTCAAGGTTGTAACTGTATATCAATAATGATATAATTACTTGTTTTTTAAATTTGAAGGAGGGTGAGCAAGCATCTTGATGAACATTCATCATTAACTCCTCCAAAAAATAAATATAGTTTATTCAATAATAAATGAATATGTGAATCATAACAGTTCTCCACTATATCTGTAAAGCGTCTTTGAGCACCTGTAAAAACGCTAACAAATTAAATCTATTATTATTATTATTTATTATTTATTTATACAGCTGATAGGAATAATATGATTGTTAATAGTATCATATTCATTCAGACAAACATCGATGAGACAGTTAATTAATGTACTTATTGCAGCAGTCTGTATATATTTGGTACCCCTGCTGGTCTAAGAGTGAGACAAACTCATTCAGTTATTGTTCAGTTAAAATTCATTAAATTACGTCTGCCACCTTATATGTAAGGCTTTACTGATGTGCCACAATAATTACTGTGTTAGCTTTTTTATATAGTCAACAGCCAGGCGAACAGAGATGAGAACTGTACTTAAGTACAGTACTTGAGTAAATGTACTTAGATACTTCCTGTGTCACATGCGGAGATGGGCTGTGGGCATGTTTGTGTTGTTTACTAACAAGACTATCATGGCGGCGGCGGAGCTCAAGTCTAGTTTCTCCACCTGGAGATATTCTCACTATTTCACTTTTGTCGAGCACAAAGAAAAGAACGTTTTAGTTAAATGTAAGTTGTGTCCTGGCGGGTCAAAGATCCTATCTACTGCCCAAACCAGTAATTCAAATCTCTTAAAACATCTGCAAAAACAACATGCTGGGACGAAGCTAGTAGCTAAGACCACAGAGAATCAGCCGACGCCACTCCACCTCCACCTAAGCAACAGCGGCTGGATTTTAACCAAAGGACTGCTAGCCAGGGAAAAGTCGATAAAGCCATTGCACGGTATGTTGTAGAACACATGCAGGCTATTGCTACAGTGGAGTCACCCGCTTTCAGGGAGCTAGTTAGCATGATACCATGTCCGGGCGGCACACGGCATATGGGACGGAAAACTTTTTCCAACTACCTACTACTAGAAAGAATATACAAAAATGGAAAGCCAGCTAATATCGATGCAATCCAGATTGCATATAATGCATGTCAAGTTGATCAACAGATTGTATTATTCTCCAATGCAATAACAGTACTGAAATGAAGGCTATAAGGGCACTAATGGGAGCCCTTTTTGTAAGTAACAAAACGTTACTTTTCACAGTAACGCGTTACTTTTTAACTAGTAAAGTAACTGAGTTACTTTTGAAATGAAGTAACTAGTAATGGTAACTAGTTACTGGTTTTCAGTAACTAGCACAACACTGTAGGGGTGTAACGGTTCACAAACATTTGGGTTCGGTACGTACCTCGTTTTTAGGTCACGGTTCGGTTCGGTACGTTTTCGGTACAGCAGAAACAATTATCACAAAACATTAAAAACATTTTTTTTATTATTATTAAACTGTGACTAATGTATTCAAATAAATACAAAATATAGTAAAATAAACATTAAGGTGCAGCATTTCGATGAACTGAAATAATCTGTATTTGAACTGTACTAGTACCTAAGCAGCCAGCTTGACATTAGGACTTGCTTGTCATTGTATTTTCATGTTGTTTAAAGAAAGATTAACTTGTCCACATTGCTTGCTGAAATGGCAGATCTGCTGGCACTAACAATGTCTCCTGCTGTGGAGAACACCCTCTCTAGGGACAGAGGTAGCACAGCCAGGTAGCGCTTTGCTAACATGGCAACATAAGGATATTTGGCGTTTGTAATAGCTTTGGCTCGGTCTGAACTTTTTGCGAGTGGTGGAGGCTTACATGCTAGTGGGAGTTGGGTTTGCACTTCAGTCTTTTTTCTTTTGGTACCGGTGATATTCACATTCGGGTGATGCCTTTTCAAATGAGTTTGATGTATTGCCAGCCGCGTAACCAATGTTAGTTGAACAATACCGACAAACAGCTTTGGTTCGGTCCACCTGTCTTTGTTCGTCATCCTTGTACTGCGAAATCAAAATGTTCCCAAACCGGAGACTTCAATGATGCTGGAGGATTTTCAGCTCAACTTTATCTGCGTTCGCCATTTCGACAGTTCCTCAAATTACTGACTACATTTGAACGCATCCCTGTGACCAGCTCTCATAGTATGCCTCTCGTCCAATGAAATGACTTGGTCGCTCTATGATATATACCTGAGATTACTTCCAGAAAGTTGTTCATGTTCTCAATTTTTTTACGTTTAACGCTATATTCGTTCGGTACACACGTGTACCGAACCGAAGGGCCCGTACCGAATAATTTCAGTACGGGTACGTGTACCGTTACACCCCTAATTAATTGATATGATTGCGATTTACAGCATATACTTCTGTCAGGGGATGCCACCGCTCAAAATCTCCTGCCACCCTCTTGCCACCCCATGAATATTTGTCTAGATCCGCCCCTGCTTTGGACCGATCCTGGTTTCCCCTGTTCCTAGTCTTTATGCCACAGTATGCTAAGCTAACAAGCGGCTGGTGCTAGATTAATATTTATGCATTGATCTTATCATCTTACTTTCAGCAAGATAGTGAATAACAGCATTTTTCAAAATGTAATACAATCCCTTGTAAAAGTCAAATATCGACATTATTTCAAAATGTGTTAAATACAACCAAATTCATGTTGGTCGTTTCATCATTAATGACTACTAAGAGGTCCTTTTCACGTCAGAGTTGTTGAATGTTGGAACGCTGCAGCTCATAGCATTGGGTTTGGTGAACAATGTTAAAGTTCTACATCTGGTTTGATGTTAAACAAACCTGTGGACGGACACACATGGTGGTTTGAAGAACATCGAGGGATCGGTGTCAAGCTCCTTCGCCACGTCGACACATGTTTCCCTTGGCATGCACTGAGTCCTCTGCCACTCTTCATCAATGGCTAAATGGGAGAGACACACTGTTCATAACAACATAATCACGCATACACAGACATGCAGAGTACATTTAGCCTACTGTTTGTATATCTGACCTTTGAGTATCTCCAGGCTGTAAGATTCGGCAGCATAGCGTGTGGAGCGGTGTGAGCCCACTGAAGGTGGAGAAGAGAGGGTCTCCGGCTGCTGCAGCCTCAGACGACACTTCCACAACTTCCAGTCAGGAAAGTCTGCGAGCATCAGCAGCTCATCCAGGCTGGAGGCGGAGCGCACCTTCCTCTCCCACTGCTTCATTACCTGCAGGGATCATGATCAGTCATACTTTATGTTTCACATTAACACTTCTTCATTATCTGTCTCAGTTTTACTTGGGGATTAGTTTCCCTCAAAAACGTCACATTAATTAAACTTAATTGAAAACAATCATTTGATAGATATGGTTCTCTAAAAGACTAATTATACACATAAAAAAAAACCACAAGAGGAACATTGTATACGTCCTTGAATAATTACATTTCCCCCTCAAATAAATAGTTATGGGCCTAAAGCCGCCTCCAGGCAATTTGGAGATTCCCAGGGATTTCCTGTGGCATGTGTGGATTAGAGTAAATATGTTATCGACCCCTATTCCCTGACTAATGTCCATAACATTATAAATAGCAGCCTAGAGTCCGGTTCTGTGACAGTTTATTTCAAACAAGCGGTTGTGGCACCCCTGATAAAGAAAACTAATCTGGACACTTCTGTCTTCTCAAATTACAGACCCATCTCGAAGCTTCCTTTTATTTCAAAGATATTGGAGAAAACCGTACTCTTACAGCTGCAGTCTTTTATACATGCACACAATATTTTCCAATCCGGTTTTAAAGCGCTTCACAGTACTGAGTCTGCCCTTCTAAGAGTATTCAATGACCTCCTGGTCACTACAGACTCTGGTGACTCTGCCATCCTTATGCTCTTAGACCTCACAGCTGCTTTTGATACGATTGACCACTCCATCCTTATCTCTCGTCTAGAGCACTGTGTGGGTATCAGGGGCACTGCCTTAGAGTGGTTCAGGTCCTATCTGTCCAAGAGATCTTTCTCTGTTACGCTTGGTGACTTTACATCCTCTTCTGCCCCCGTATCCTGTGGAGTTCCCCAAGGTTCTATTTTGGGGCCTATTTTATTTTCCTTATACCTTCTCCCCCTTGGACTGATTTTTAGAAAATATGGCGTCTCCTACCACCTTTATGCGGACGACTCCCAATTATATCTACCCCTAAGAAAAAACACTAGCTCTCTGATGCCCCTGGTTGACTGTCTTAATGACATAAAGGCCTGGATGGCGCTACACTTTTTAAATATAAATGAGAGCAAAACGGAGGTAATTGTGTTTGGACCAAATGGTGATGTCTCTTCCATTGACCTGGGTTCCCTGCAACAGTTTGCAAAACCCATGGTCACAAATCTGGGTGTCAAAATCGACAGTGCTTTTAAATTAGATAAACAGATAAACTCTGTGGTTAAATCCAGTTTTTATGACTTGAGGCTCCTGTCCAAAATTAAACTGGTTTTATCCTTTTTAAACTTTGAGCGTGTAATTCATGCCTTTGTTTCAACTCGTTTAGATTATTGTAATGCACTTTATGCCGGCCTAAATAAGATTTCGCTGGCCCGCCTGCAGCTTGTACAAAACGCTGCGGCGCGGCTGCTTACAGGAACCCGCAAGTTTGACCACATCACACCAGTTCTGGCTTCGCTCCACTGGCTTCCTGTCCATTTTAGAGTCCATTTTAAGATTTTATTGTTTGTTTTTAAATCTCTTAATGGGCTGGCCCCAGAGTACATCTCCGACCTCTTACAGGTGTACACCCCCTCAAGGGCTTTGAGGTCGGCTGATCAGCTGCTGCTTGTAGTCCCAAAAACAAAACAAAAGACCAGGGGAGACCGAGCGTTCTCATCGGTAGCCCCCAGGCTCTGGAACGACCTGCCCCCTCAGGTTAAATTGTCGCCCACTCTTGAAGTTTTTAAGTCCCGCCTAAAAACCCACCTCTTTTCCCTCGCTTACCAGTCAGTCTGAGCTATGTCTTACCTATTTGTATGCTTTTACTGTCTGTCCATAGCCTTTATGTGCCTTGTATGTATTCTTATGTGTGCTTTTTTATCTTTTCTTATGTGTGCTTTTTATCTATTTGTGTAATATTATATTTTATTATAATGTTATGTTCATTGTGAAGCACTTTGGCAAACCCTCTGTTTTTAAACTGTGCTATATAAATAAAGTGGATTGGATTGGATATAGCACCCCAAACTCATTTTGTTAGTTAGAATGATATATGAAGTGGAAAAATAAGTAGTAATTTTAGATTCAGCCTTGTTAAATATTCCATGCTTAAAGGTCCTCTATTATACTGTTTTTCATCAATATAGGCTATTATAGGTCTCAGATATATACAAAACATGTCTCTGAAGTGTTTGGCTCCAAATACCAAACAGATCATGCAATGTAGCATCCCATAAACCCCTCTGTTTCAGTTCCAAAAGTGCTGATTCTCTGTCTTTTACTTTAGATGAAAATAAGGAGCCACCCCTTAATAGGTGACCTTTAACTAGCAATGTTACTGGAGCATTACGTTGCATTCAGCTCAAAACAGTGCTGTGCCTGCAGCCTCACAGAGCCGCAAATGTATGGGCTCAGAACAGTCTCATAATACACACATGCACACAGAAGGATTCACACTTGTATTTCCGGATCCACACTTGTGTTTTTCAATGCACACATAAATGTGTTCCGTTTCATATACATGTAAATAAAATCCAAATACAGACAAAAGTTTTACATATGTATTTTTGATCCTCACATATTTGTTTTCCGTTTAAAACCCCTGAACCTGCAAACACAAACCGCTTTCTGTGCACGGATCGCTGTGCATTCGTGTGTGGGTTTTTTGAGACTCCCCTGGCTGGTGATCTTGACCTCAACGTCAGGGAATCCACCCACCCTTTAAGTAGCTTGCGCTACGACGCAGCGTCATTCAAAATAAGCACCTCTTCTCGCTTCGCCTTAGCAAGAAGGGCCGTCTGGTGAGACATCTCACTTCATGTTACTCTGAGAACTGGGGTTACGTAAGTAACCTATAGTTCTCATTCATAACACTCCGTTCGATGTCTCACTATGGGATATTGAAACTTCCGTATTGCTAGACATGCTTATCTCTAAAATCACCAAAACAACCAGAACTTAACAGGTAGAACTCTGTCTCAACACGGGACCCAGCACTGCGCGGGCCACACTTGGAGCAGAGACATCTAGCCTGTAAAAGCGGACAAAAGTGAGCGGCGAGGACCAACTCGTTGCTGCACAAATGTCTTGAATGGAAACACCCTTGAACAAAGCCCAGGATGTAGCCAGTCCACGAGTAGAATGAGCACGCAGGCCCGTTGGTGCCTGCAAACCCTGACTCGTATAAGCCAGAGCAATCGCTTCCACAATCCGGTGGGAGAGCCGTTGCCTGGTAACAGGCTTGCCCTTCTGAGGGTTAGCCCAGGATATAAAGAGTTGGTCATTACAACGAAACTCTTTTGACCTGTCCATATAGATGCGTAAAGCACGAACTGGACACAGCAAATTCGGCCGCTGTTCCTCAGAGGAACACAGCGGCGGAGGAAATGCCACAATGTCAATGGGGGTACATGAGCCAACCACCTTAGGTATAAAGGCAGGGTTGGGCTTCAGCAACACTCTCGTTTTCCCCGGGGCAAACTGAGTGCATGAAGGATGTACAGAGAGCGCATGAATGTCACTGACTCGCTTGGCAGATGCCAGAGCCAGTAACAGCACTGTCTTCAGTGACAGGTGTTTCATGTCAGCTTCTTCCAGGGGTTCAAATGGAGGTCGAGTGAGCCTATCTAAAACCACTGCCAAGTCCCATAAGGGCACCAGTGACCTGTAAACAGGGAGGAGCCTGCGAGCCCCTTTCATAAAACGGCAGACCAAAGGATGTTGGCTAGCCGTCTTTCCCTCAAAGCCCACATGGCATGCAGCAATAGCAGCCAGGTACACTTTGATCGTAGAGAAAGCTCTGTGTTTATCAATTAAGTCCTGTAGAAATGATCAAATCACCCCGACAGGACATTGAAAAGAGATGTGTCCTTTTTGAAGGCACCACTCCTCAAACACCCTCCACTTACAGTCATAGAGACCTGGTGGAGGAAGCTCTTGCACTCTGAATAGTGTTTATCACCTTCTGAGGGAGCCCCACTGTATTCAGATTGTACCACTCACGGGCCAGGCCCATAGTGCCAAGCGCTCTGGGTGTGGGTGAAAGATCGTCCCCCCCGCCTGAGACAGTAGGCTAACTGGAGAGAACGCAAACCCCCTTAGCGGTTTATATATACGATATTGTGGTCGTGTTGTCTGTCCTCACGAGGACATGATGTCCTCTGAGAAAAGGCAGAAAGCGTTTCAGGGTGAGGAACACCACTAAAAGCTCCAGATAATTTATGTGTGACCGTTGGAGGTCTCTGCTCCAGAGACCCCTCACAGGTCGACCTTCGTATATACCCCCCGACCCGTCAGACATGCGTCTGTGGTGACCACCTTCCGCGATAGGACAGCACCCATAGGCACGCCCCGTACTAGAAAAGTCGGGTGTAGCCAGTGGCGCAGTGCCATTACGCATTTCATAGTGACCATCACTCTCCACGCGCCATGACGTGCGGGGTCCAATCTGAGGGCAGCTACCCAGCGCTGAAACTCCCTCATGTGTAAGCGTCCCAGTTGTACCACCAGAATGGCTGACGCCATGAGCCCGAGCAACCGCAGACATGACCTGAAGAGAACATATTTACGTGGCTGGAAATGAGCGAGGCAAGCCCTGAAGGCTTTCACTCTCTCTGCTGACAAGCGGGCTGTAAAGGACACCGAATTCAGGCGTAGGCCCAGGAAGAGTACAGTCTGGGCTGGAGACAACATGCTCTTTTCTGTGTTTATTACGAAACCCAGGTCGAGCAGGTGTTTTACGAGGACATTCGTCTGCGTAATAGCCTCTTGCTCCGACTGTGCGAGAAGGAGCCAATCGTCCAGATAAGTTGCCAGGCGAATACCCTGTTGTCTTAACGGGGCTATCGCGGCTTCCGTACACCGTACAAACACTCGCGGGCTGAGAGACAGACCGAAGGCAAGTACTCTGTACTCGTAACAGACACCCTGAAAGGCGAACCTCAGATATTTCCTGTGTGGGTAATATATATATATACATATTTCAGGTCGACTGATGTGAACCAGTCGTTTTGGCGCACGAGACGCAACAGAG